ATTGTGTCGCAAATTCCTCGACAGAATGTAGTAGGATCTGGTTACCAGTATTGAAAGAGGAAGTTATTAATAAGAAAATACCAGTATTAGTAAGTCAGTAACATATAGAGGATACATCATTTATGTTTTTTAAATAACGAAACATATAAAATCAGAATTTTGGTGTTTACTGAAGGTAATTAAATGCACGAACAAATACTTACCATATCGGGATTATATTATGAGGGTTTTTTATTGGTGTTTCCCTCATAATTTACTATGGAATCACTAACAGGAGAATTTTACTGTCATCATGTCATGTGCTTGTCTTTTTAAAGACGAATTACATGCTATGATTTTTTTCTGACGGATATTCTCAAGTTAAAGTTGATTTCATGTAATCGAATGAACTATCTTATAAGTAAAGTCGTCCCAGGAGCGCAACTCAACAATATTGACAATATCATTTTAAAGTCGTCTACTTTAAAATGCATAATGTATGTCTGAATTGTCAATATAAATGAGTCAGATAAAATTAAATTATTAGAAGAATTTTTCACTATGTAACAAAAAAACAAAGTTTGTTTAATTTACTGTTTGTATTTTGAGAACGATTTCCAAACGTTAATTGAGGCTTATTCCCAATTAAATAGTAATTAATTCTTGAACTTTGGATTCAAGATCAACTAGGTTGATTAGTCGTTGATCTATTTTGAAGAAAGCGGCATTCTACTTAGGGATTACATGTAAGAAATCAGTATAATTGTAATATATTTTAATATGTACATTCCACTGAAAAACTACGTTTATTAACTTTTACTATTGTATTAATACAAAACTTAAAAATAAAGTTTTAGTCTAATCTGTATAACTTATCAAAGTAATAGTTCCTCTCCACATTAGCTCATTCTAAGGATCGCCACAATTTGCTAGTACTGAGCTATCCATGTTTACTACTAATTTCCACAGATATGTCATCACGGACCATTAGCCACAATTTGCTAGTGCTAATCTGTCCATTTTTATCGACGAACATCCACACAGTGGTCATCGTGGACCATGGAGCCTATATAAACTGGTTTTGAAACGGGCAATTCGTTCCCAAAGTTTTCCAAGTATGTACTAATAATAATTGGTCTTTCTTTGAAAGTGTCAACCTGCCTGAAATTCACTTAAAGCGTGTGGCATATAGTAAGCCTAATGTAGAGGAACTGTACAAAGTTTTTATTCATCACACATATAGTTGGGAGTATGATACTATTTGATTTACAGTTGTTGAATTTTACACATTGTATTATCGTAAAATAAGTGTAAATGAAAGTTAGACAAATATCAGGGTATTTATTTATTTAAATAAAGAGTATCCCAAAATGCACGCCAGATTATAGTAAGCTCTATTGTCGTTGTATATTCTTACCAACGTAAAATAAAGTCAACTTATCAGCTAATATTTTTAAGTAATTATTGCGCCTACACTAATAATTTTTCGTACAAAAACTAGTCAAAACAAAATTTAACGTCCTCAATTATTATTGTGAAGGGAGTTGTTACAAAATGAGACATTTTGACCGTCCTTAAGAATTACAAACAGCCCCCCAAACACAGTCCATTCTTTCACGGTAAAATATTGTAAAACCTCAGAATTTTAAGGAACTACACCGATTTTGAAAAAATTTTGCAATGAAACTTAACTTATCTTCCACTTCAACAACTATATGATTAAAATATCGGCTTTTTTTTTTAAGGGGTGAAAACTACCCTTTTTTCGGCGGGAGGCACACATCGGTGCTATATAACTTTTTTCTTTGACTTGTTTTCTATACGTATTTTAAATTTCATGCCAATCGAAGTGGTTATTTGAAATTCTGAATAAAAACCGTGAAAGAATGGACTATGATTGATAAGGATATAAGATTCCACTTTTCCGAGCCATAATTCAGTATTTTGGAAGCTATCCACAGTGGATTTTTATGAAATATTTGCACTTTCATCCTTAAAAAGTATAAGCGAAAATTTTTCTTTTAATATTTGATTACTGTTCGATACTTAAACAATTATTTGTATGAACACAATTTAACTTTCAGTAAATGTTTTTGTAAATAATTTGGAAAGTTTTTACTTTATTTTTACTAAAATTTCTTTATAAAATTCATATTTATTTAAAAAAAAAAACCTTATGGGCTAAATCACAGAACGTTCTTGGAATAAATATTCCATCTTCAATGCTGCTACTAAATATACGTGTTCAGAGCCACTAAATATATGGTTGAAATGATTTAATGACTTTAAACATGTATACCGAGTAGCAGCACTGAAGATGGAATATTTATTCCGAAAACGTTCTGGGATTTAGCCATCGAGCAAAAAGACAAAAGAGGAAATCTAATCGTTATGAAAAGGAGACCAAAATAGTGGCCTCTGATGGCGGACATATCCGGAAATGCAAAGGCGCTAAATTTAAATTTTCCGACACTTAGTAACAATAGCTATGAAATATTTTTCAGACGAGAAAGTTTTAATTAAATATTAACGATAATAGCCTAAAAAGTGACACAATTGGTAAAAAACTTCAATATAAATAAAATTACATGTGACAGTTGGGACAAACAATAACATAACCAAACTAAATTTGATTTCTTAAACACGAAAAGAGACTGTCTCAAGATAGCACTTCCTGTCTAACAATATTTTTGTCCCCACTACCTTTACATTCCCTCTTTTGTCTTTTTGCTCGATGGATTTAGCACGTAAGGTTTTTTTTTAAATAAATATGCCTTTTAAGGATTTTTTTTGGTAAAAAAATTTATGATATATGTTATACGACCGACTGCAGGAAATGAACTTTTTCCTTGTGTTTTACTTTATTTTCCTTTATATGCACAATTTGTATGATGTTTGGAGGTATGCTGTGTCTTAAAAAGTTAAGACGTGATAGACAAATTTTATTTTGGCATTCAGAGGCTAAAAGTTGGTTAAAAGCAAATCACAAATTTAAGACAATGAAGTTGCTGTTGCCTTGTGTGTTATTTTAATAGGTGAAAATTGCTATATTGATATATAACTCTAAATTTCATCACCTACACAAGATATATTTTTCTGTATGGATCTACATTCAAACAAGCTGTGAGAGCTAAAAAGACCTAAAAAAAATGAGTGAAGGTTTGCACGAACACGAGCGTGTACATCAACGAGGGCTGCTATTTATATTTCTGCTCTCTGCAACACTACGTACCGCCAACTGACATTGACACTTGCACTTGAAAGTTTGACATTTTTAAGCATATGCGTACGTTTTGACGTATGAGCATTGTGTTGTTTACAGTGGCTTGAAAAGTTTGTCTCGGTCAAAAATGGAATTGAACCGTGAACATTTTCGTGCGATAATTTATCTTGACTTAATCGCTATACAGGGATCAAACACCATCCTTTAGCACAGTAAAAAATTGGTACAATGAATTCAGTTGTGGTCGGCTTTCTCGCCAGGACAAATTCTGTAAAGGTCGTCCAGAATCGACTGTTATATCAAAAACCATCGATGCTCTGCGTGAACTGATAGAGGAAGATCATCGTGTGACATACCGTGAGATTGAGGCATCCTTGTGCATTAGTATGACGAGCATCAATAAGATATTGCATGATCATTTGGCACGTTGGATCCCACATAATCTAACAAAAGGTCAAAAAAAGGCTTGTGTCAATTGTCTTCTTCTTCTTTTTATATAGACATGACTCTGTCTGTTTTTCAATGTGCCTTCAGTAAGATGTCATTCCGTCGTTTTCGTGGTCTTCCTACTGATCGTCTTCCTGTTGGGGAACTGTCTCTTGCCGTCTTTACTACTCTATTTGTTGTCATTCGGCTTATATGAAGGTTCCATTCTACTCTTCTATTTCTTACCCAGTTTTTGATGTTCTCCACCTTGCATATATGTTGTATATCTGTACTTTTAGCTCTGTCCCATAGTGTCTTACCATAAATTTTTTCATCTCTGCTGTTTCTAACATTCCTTTTGTCCTCTCTGTGTCATGTCTTGTTTCTGCCGCGTATGTCACTATTGGTCTGATGACTGTTTTGTAAATTCTGCCTTTCATTCCTTTCCCGATATTTTTATTTCTCCATATTGTTTCATTTAGGCAGCCTGCGGCTCTGTTTGCTCTATTCACTTGATCTTCCACTTCGGTTTCGAGCTTTCCGTAGCTAGATAATGTGATGCCTAGATATTTAAACTCCATCAATTGTTCTGACCTTCCAGCTCCAATTTACATCTTAGTAAATTTGCTGTTATAACAATGCATTTTGTCTTGAAGAAATGGGATCGCGGTGCATTAACTGCTGTGTATAACATGTAAACAGGTGACGAAAGATGGATCTATGCATGTGAACCCGAAACAAAACACCAATCGACCGTATGAGTTTTCCAAGATTAACCAAATTCAATCAAAGTTGTTCGTGGAAGATCCTCGTGATAATGGTCGCTTGTTGTTTTGGTATAAATAATCATGTAGCTACAGTGTCGTTACAAGAACGTAAGACGATCAGTTCTGAATAGTATACAAGCATTTGTTTGCCAGAAGTTTTCAGTGAAATTCGGAAAAAGAATTAGAACAGACGAATCATTCTTCACCACGACAATGTAAACGCACACATCAGCACTCATAACAAGGTTTTTGATCGACCAAAACATCGAATTAACGGTTTATCCGCCGTACAGTCCTGATTTAGCACCCAGTGATTTCTTTTTATTTCCGCACATTAAAAATAAATTGTGTGGTCAACGATTTTCAATGTCCGAAGAAGCGATTGAAGCGTTCAAAACCCATGTTTTGGAATTACCTCAATCAGAGTGGAAAAAGTGATTTTAAAATTGGTTCAAACGCCTGCAAAAGTGTATTGATTTTCATGGAGAATATTTTGAAAAGCATGAAATATAAATAGCAACCTCTCGTTCTTAATGAATTCATTAAAAATTTATAATTGGTAAAAATAGAATTAATAAAAAAACTATTATATACAATTTCTTTTTACGTGCAATTGGGACACCCTTTATTTTTAACTAATATTAATTAATACCAAGATATCTGCTAGTCATTACGTAGTTTTCTTCGCTTTTGTGTGGAAGCCATTGACTTGTTTCTTGGATGGTGTGTAACTAGCTGTGTAGAAATCATAAAACATTTTAAAAATCACAATCACGTTCGGGATGTAGATCAACAGGAATTGTCTGGGCACTTTGCAGTCCGATGGAAGCGCTGTCAGAGAGTGAATTATGAGGAGTGTGAATTGTATCTGTAACAGAAATCGTTTAATGTATGTTTGTCGTTTCTAAATATTGATAAAACAAATTTGTATATAATGGTATATTGTGCAACTATTTTAGTTTCGAATTATACATGATTTTAGGCATGTAGGCCTCGACCTTTCGATGTTCTAATTTTTCAATTGTGTTTAGTTTCTATTAAAAATGCATAAATAGTTAAAGTTGACACCATCTATCTATCGTCCGTCGGCAAATTCAAACAAAAATTTAACTTCCAGACAATTCTTTACCACCTTTAGTCCAGACAAATTAATATATGTATTTAATATATTTTTAACCACCAAAAATGAGATGTTTTCAACCAAATAATGCTTCAAATATATTGTGTAGAATAATTTTGAATTACATCCAGCTAATGAACTTGCTTTTTTGTCCTTAAAAGGAGAAAGAAGTTTCAATTATATTGCTTAATATTTCGTCTAAATATAATCGTCTAATAATTTTAACTGTACTAATGAAGTATCAACTTTCAAGTTTTAAACTGATTGATTTACGATTAGCAATCTGATTGGAGGGAGCATCATTATTAACATAAGATTTGCAGACGATACCGCAATCATGGCAGAGAATATAGACGATTTACAAACTCGCCTGGAAATCATTAGCAGAGAAAGCAAAAAGATGGGACTAACAATGAATATAAATAAAACCAAATACATGGTGATCTCAAAAAACCCTGTTGACAACATACAACTGACATTGGAGGGTAAACCCCTAGAGAGAGTCGACAAATATAAATACCTCGGAGCAATTATAAACTCACAGTTAGATCAAGAGCAGAAGATAAAGGTCAGAATAGAAATAGCTCGAAAACGCTTTATAAAATACAAGTCAATGTTTACAAATAAGAAATTGAGTATGGCCATCAGATTGAGGTTCGTCGAATGTTATGTTTGGTCGCAACTACTATATGGGGTAGAAGCTTGGACTCTGAAAGCTCAATCTATAAAAAAATTGGAGGCATTCGAAAGGTGGGTATATAGGCGTATTTTGAAGATTCCTTGGACTGCAAAAGTCTCAAATGAGGAAGTGTTAAGACGAGTTGGACATGGCAGAAAGCTTATGAACACAATTAAAATAAGAAAAACATAGTATCTGGGCCACATACTCCGAAACGATAAATACTCTCTGCTACAAGTTATCATGCAAAGTAGAGTAGAGGGAAGAAAAGGCTTGGGAAAAAAGAAGAAATCTTGGCTGAGGAATATCAGAGATTGGACTAACCTCAGTGTTGAACAGATATTTCACGTTACAAAGGATCGAGAAGCGTTTAAAGAAGTGATCGCCAACCTTCGTTAGAAGACGGCACAAGAAGAAGAAGAAGAATCTGGTTGTAAAAATACCGGCATGTGCCTTATGGACTGGACTGGGACTAGACTTCTTCTTCTTTCTTCTTACGGTGCCTATCCGTTCCGGATGTTGGCGATCAACATGGCTATCCTAACATGGCTTGCTGCTATTCCGAATAGTCCGGTTGTCGATGTATTAAACCACTTTTTCAGGTTTTGAAGCCAAGATATTCTTCTTCTCCCTGGTCCTCTCTTTCCAAATACCTTGCCCTGAAGAATGAGTTGCAACAAGCCGTATCTCTGTTCATTCCTCATAACATGGCCAAGATATTCTAGTTTGCGCTCTTTGATGGTGATAATAATCTCGCATTCCTTGCCTATTCTACGTAGGACCTCACTATTAGTCACACGATCCACCCATGAAATTCTGGTCTGGAAAGATACGTCTGTAACACCACATCTCGAATGCCTCGAGTTTTCTTAAGGAAGCTTCGGAAAGTGTCCAGGCCTCTACTTCGTATAATAAGGTAGAAAATACATAGCATCTAATGAGAGAGATTTTGGTAGCCAGTGGTAAATCATGACTTCTGAAAAGAGGCTTCATCATTATGAACTCTGATCTCTCTTTTCCTATGCGTTGTTTTATTTCACTGGAGTGATCCCATTGGCTGTTAATGTTGGTACCAAGGTATGTGTAGCTGTCCACTCTGTCAATTGGATGTTGGTTAACCAAAAGCTGTGTATTTAATATTTCGTGCTTACTGACTACCATGTTCTTTGTTTTCTTCTTATTAAGATCAAGTCCGTGTTCTCTACTTATATGTGATATACGCGACATTATTCTTTGCAAACCGTCCAGATTATCTGCAAAAACTACTGCGTCGTCGGCATATCTAATGTTGTTTAGACGCATTCCGTTGACTAATACGCCTTCTAGTAGTTCTCCCAGCGCTTGCTCGAAGATATTTTCAGAGTATATGGACTAGACTTCCATCGATTATTCTTAATTTGGATCAGAGTTTTTTTATTGGGGGGCTATTTAGATTCTTTATGCATTATTTTGTGGGTTTTACCACTAGCCTGTTTTGCCAATTGTATTACAGTTTAGCAATTGATTATTCAATAAACAACAAACAAAACATTATAGTACATTTTTTACTCACCATTTGCAACATAGTAAGCCTTGGTTTCCACGGTTGCAGTTTCTTTTGCCATTCAGGTCCCAAAGAAGACAAGTAGTAATATGTGTACATTAGTACGTGTATGAATGAGTTAACGAAGGGAGGAAGGGAAGCCATACCACCTGTAAACAATATAGATATATTAGTTTGTGTGAGAGTGTAAAAAGTTACATAGATTATATAGCATCGGTAATCACCATGAATCTATTAATTAAATTGAGTAAAAAAGTTGGAATTTCCTTTAAAGTGATCTTACTCGTAAAATACTGCCACGTTAAGGTAGAGGGGATAACTTTCCAAGCTCCCTTTTCTTTACATTCGAACTTCAAATTGAAGTGCGCTGGAAACATTTGCAATATTTCGTTTTATATTGCATGCAGAATATTTATTTATATTAAACTGGGGTAGCTCGAGAAAATAATATGAACTGATCTATTTTCAACTCCCGGAAAAATGAACTAATTAATTTTGCCATAAAAAAGTTATTAAATGTCACTATTATTTCGTAAGATATATTTAAATTATAATAATGTATGTATACTATTTATATAAATCTTCTTCTTGTAGTTCCTTCTTCTATCGGAGGTTGGCTATCATCACAGCTATCCCTATCTTATTGGCGGCTGCTCTGAAAAGATCTACTGAGCTACAACTATACTCTCTTAGGTTTCGTTGCCAGGAGATTCTTCGTCTTCCTATGGATCTTTTACCCTTGATTTTACTTTGCAATATAAGCCTCAATATCTCATATTTCTCAGCTCTGATAATGTGGCCTAAAAATTCCAGCTTTCTTGTTTCGATGTGCTTTATGACCTGGCAGTCCTTTTGTGGCGTTCTTAACACTTCTGCATTTGAAACTTGATGTAATCTATTTACTAGTGCTTCTAAACTGTCTAGACTAGACTTATATACCAATATGTTTGTAGTTTACACGAATAATTAATAATATATTATTATGTTTAAGTAAATAATCTACATTAATCAATAAAATTTAAATATTTCTTACGAAATAATCGTAAAATTCAACTTTTTTATTTTAAAATTTAACTAAATCATTTTTTCGTGGGGTGAAAATAGCACAGTTCTTATTATTTTATCGAGTTACGATAATTAAAATAAATAAATCAAGCTTTTGTGTGTAAAAGAAACTGAGATATTGTAACTTTTTCAGCGCGTCCCAATTTGAAGTTCCATTTTAAAAAAACGGATCTCATACAGACGTTATTTGACGAGTACCCTTACTTTAATGGGTTATACTTTTTTACTCCCTATGGGTATGTCCCATCTAGAAAATGGATCTTAATATCTGGATCTTCATATATAATATATTAAATTTTTAGCTATTAATATCAATAAACAATGAAAGTATGCCTTTATGAAAAAGTATCTTCTTGCTTCATATTAGTCATAGAAGGTTGTTTTTCTGCTAATACTACTGCAGTTACTAGTAGTATTAGCAGAATATATGGGAAAGTAATAAAAAATCGAATAGAAGAAGAATACTAAGATATGGAAGCCGAAAAACAGGCTAGTTTTCGTGCAGGTCGATCTACAATAGACCATGTCTTCTCTATTACTCAGATAATTGAAAAGAGAGTTGCTCGTGGCCAAGAAGTCCACCTGACGTTCGTAGTCCTTAGAAAAGCATATAATAGTGTACCCATTGATAAATTATGGGAGGCACTGGGGAAAACAAATATAAATATAGAATTGACTGAAGCGGTAAAAACGTTGTACTACCAACAAACCACAAGAATTAAAACAGGAAATCTGATAACAACGGGATTAAAAGTGACTAAAGGACTAAGACACGAATGCTGTATACCCAACATTATTCAAAATGTACCTCGAAGCAGCACTCAACAAATGGAAGAAAAAATGTACGAATATGGGAATACCACTAATGGACTCAACTTTGTACAATCTGTGCTTTGCGGACCAGGTCATCATCGCATAGGACTCTGGAGACCTTAGTTACATGATGCGAAAACTATTAGAAAAATTTACAGAGTTGGGTTTGGAAGTGAATATGGAAAAAACTGAGTACATGTGTATCGGAGGAGATCAACATAACCTTGTCGTCAAGGAAAATCAAGAGATCAAACTATGTGACGACTACAAATACCTAGGAGTAAAGATCACTCAGGACGGAAAATTAGATGCAGCCATTAAGGAACGAAATACACAGGGAAGGAAAGGCATAGCCGTACTTAACAGCGTACTGTGGGATAAAAACATATCTAAGGAAAATAAAAGAAGAATATACAACACCATAATTAAAAGTATCACAACATATGGATGCGAAGTGTAGCCCCTAAAAGAGAGAACAGAGCAAATGCTTAGAGCAACAGAAATGGACTTCTGGCGCCGCTCAGCGGGAATCTCTAGACGCGACAGAATAACAGACGAGAGAGTTCGAGAAATCATGAGGGTTACACATAATATTGTTGATGACATCAAAACAACACAACTCAGATGGTACGGACACGTAAGGAGAATAGAATACCAAGACAAATTCTTGAATGGCAACCAAGACGTAGGCGGAGACTAGGAAGGCCTAGAAGAAGTTGGAGACAAGCAGTTGTTAAAGAAATCAGGGAAAGAGAACTGGAGGACGATCTATGGAACGATAGAATGAGATGGAGATTGGAAATCGGAAGACGTCGAAGAACGTTGTAAACCGACATTATATATATATATATATTATATATATATATATATATATATATATATATATATATATATATATATATATATATATATAGGTTGTTTTTTAAAATTGGGTTTTTTCACCATATTTTCAATGAGCCTTTCAGGTTTTTTAATTAAAATTTTTTTATATCTTAAAACTTAGCCAGTAAACTAAGAATCGATTGCAAGCTGCTAAATACATGGACGTATAAATATTTATACGTCCATGGCTAAATATCTCTAGAGTCACTGATTGGACAAGTACAGTTGTTTAATTAACCGTTCTCCTAGATAAACAAATTGAACTTACAAACTATTTGGTCGATCTAGCTGAGATTTAGCACACTTCAATAATTCGTTAATTGACATAATTTCAAGTAGTTGTATTCCATGTCATTTTGCAAAACTTATAAACTATTGCAAAGATACAAAGGTTTTTTACAATTATCTCGGTCAATTGTTTATAAAAAGCTTTTTATAACTTTTGTATAAGAAACGTTTTATAAGTAAAAATGAATTCTTTTACCATTTATGATTAAAAAACAAAAGCAAAATCAGCTGTAACGTTCAAAAATCTGCATTAGATTTTTTCAGCTTTCTTCTCTTTTACTTGCCTATAAAGCTTTAAGAGCTTTAATACATAGTTTTTAATTCTACTAAGTATTATCAAAGATTAATAATTCCTGAGCAAAATTTTAAATTAAATTTGCTACAGAGTAATGTCTTCTTTGTTTTTTCTAAATGCTACTGGAGTATATTTTATTAAAAGATATTTGTAGGATAATTAAATCCACTGTTTTATCTAAACACTAACTAATTTTCCTCTCGTCTCGTATTGTCGTAAATATTTCTTTCATTTCTCTTTATGTAAATATATTTGAATTCGCCCTTATATAACATTTGATTTTGTTCTTGTACTATTTCTACTAGCTTCGATTTTTACCAATTATTTGTGGATGAAAGGCTTTTCCACAAGTTGATTGGAAAAGTAATACAATTCTGAGTAGGAAAACCATGATAACGATCCATTATCATAGCTAACGAAACTAAGCTCATAAAGTGTTACATAAAATGTGAGCGGAGAAGTATTGATTTGCGAGCCGTAGATTGTAGAGACATTGTTGGAGATATATATATATAATATATAGTTACTATATAATAAAAGTAAATTATAATACTAGAGAAACGTATATTATTCAACGAGTTTTTCAATCAATTTTTTTAATAGTCGAGTTCTTTTATATTGTTAAAGATCTGTTAAATCATACGGCCTAGTATTTCTTGCGTAGTACATTTTGTAGTATTCTTATTCTACAGTGTGTAAAAGCCAAATGGAATAAATTCATTATTTAGGTTACTGTACCTATTTATAAAAAATCCCGAAACACGTCAAATTTAAATTATAACTTAACATTCTTTAACGTGAAAATGCAACCCCTACCTTCAACCCCCTTAGAATGACAGGTACAACCCCCAATTTTTAAAATAGGAAGTATAGGCTTGTGATATATCGTTTGAAAGGTCTTTGCATTCTCCATTAAAAAATGTTGTCGCTTTCAAGTTTATTAAGATTAATTAAGATAAAATAAATTAAAATCATGTGGTTGGTAAATAATGGTATATTTTATATATAGTGTAATGCGACCGGTTTCGATGTTAATCAGTTTTACATCATCATCAGGTCATACAAATTTGAAACCAGATAACAATGCAAGGCTACTTGCTGCATAGGATCGCCATGTAAATATGATTCGCGTGACTCAGAGGACTATGGAGTGTCAAATATTGGGTGTATGTCTGAGAGGCCGAATCCCAAACAAAGACATACGTCGTAGAACAAAACAGGACGATATCGAAAAAATCACGTCACTAAAATGGAATTGGGCAGGAAGCGTAGCCAGATTATCTTACAACCGATGGACAAGACATATTGTCGAGTGGAGGCTAAGACGAGAAGCTCTATGGAGCAGAGGTCGCCCACCAAACAGATGGACTGACGAGCTAAAGCGTGTAAGAAAAGTTGTAATCAATTTATATTTTACAATTCCATCTTGAATGATGACAACATTGAAAACAGTGTAAAGTTTAACAGACAAGTTAATTACACAAATCTTTGTGGTATTAACAAAATACATAAAGTGACAAAAAATTTATTGCCCATACTACTCAAACTACTTTTTTTTATATATCTATGTATATTCTATTACTAACCTCCAATAAATTTACATCCAAGCCATGCCAAGAAGAAAGTAGATCCATGATGGTAGATGTGGAGGCCTGTTATCTGGTTATTTTTCTTTCTTAGAGCAAAGAATATAGTCTCGATCAGTTCTATACCTTTTAACACGTAGATCCAGTAGAACGCACCCAGCAGTTTGACGGGATTTGGTTTGTTGGAGTAATCGATCGGGGAACAACCAATACTGTATTCTCCTTGAATCCAGCCTGAAGTGAGGATCTAAAATTTGATATAGTCAATATTAATTAGAACGAAAATATAAAAAACTAACTAAATACGTACAAGCAGCAGTGGAGACAATAAAAAGGGAAAGGTTGCCAATGATTTAATACCATAATTAATTTAAAGTCCCGAAGATATATATATATATATATATATATATATATTATATATATATATATATATATATATATATATATACAATAGGGCTACAGACGTCGAAGGCCTCTGGCTTCCAAAAACTTAATTATTTCACTCCATTTTTTCCGTTAGCTTACTTGTTCTCTCCAATCTCTCACGCCGATTACTGAAAATCTTCTTGCTTTGCTGCTTCCAGCCATTTTTTCTTCACACGTTCTCTTCTTTTTTCCCCATTTCAGTATGATTTTAAAATTTCTCTGGCATTCGTGTAATCTGACCAAGACATCTAGCTCTTTGGGCTTGTATTTTTGCCGTTATTATTGGTTCTACATATATCCTCATTGTTTCTTTATTTTTTCGTCTTCTCCAAATATTCTTTACCGTCTGTGTTCCTCTGAAGATTTTTCTGAACACCTTTCTTTCCCAGATCTGTACTTTCTTTTCTCCCTGCTGATTCACGATCCACGTTTTGCTGGCATATATCACCATGGATCTGATTACTGTTTACTGACCCTACTACTCTACTTCCCTTCATTACTCTTTTGTCTATCTCTTTTCCTTCTTTTCCCATGTTCGTTATGGTTACTCCTAAGTATTCAAATACACTTTTCAAAACTATAGACAGCTTCATTTCGTTTCATTTTGATGTATTTGTTATGCCTTCACATTTCCTTATATTTCTTTTTTGTTTGGTTTTTTGTTAGTCCGAATTTTTTGTTTCTTCTTTAATAAGGCCTATAAGGACCTAGTCCTCTACGTTTCTGGGGCTCAGGCTGCGCTGTGCTCTCATATCTACTTTAATCAAGAGGCCCTCTACATCTGAGCTCTTTCTGCTGTTTCGAGCTTGTAATCCTTTAGTAATCCTGTAGCCTCACAGAAGCCTCTTTAAGAGTAATCCCTCATTTGGCTTGGTTTCTTCCTCATTACAAAGACGCCACCGTGGCCCTCCGCCAATCCGAGTAGATGAAGGTACCGCCTGAGTCTTCAGTGGCCGGTAAGCATACTGATCACCAGAGAGCTTCTTCTGCGGTCTAGAAGGAGAAGTTGGGCTGTTATAATTTTTGGATTGCCCCACTGGCCAGGCCTGAAACCTCCGCAGAAACTGTTTGAGACTACTCCGACTAGTAATAAAGGCCACTCGAGTCACAGTATCGGATCCTACAGGCAGAGTGGATAAGCCCTGTCTTGCCATGGTGTCAGCTCGTTCTAAGTTAACCCGACTGTCAGAGTAGATAGAGGTGGTCCTGTCTGAGCAAGCCCTATCTATTATCTCATGAGTACATACCAGGATCGCAAAGATCTCGGTCTGAAAGACTGATGCGTGGGAGCCGAGAGTCTGACCAGTTCTACTTTTGTTCTATTACTTATTGCCAAAACATTCCTACATTCTTCATAGAATCAGTCTTGACGTCTCTTTAAATGTCCTTCTATACACTTTTCCGCTACTTCAGACACGGCGGTCTGTATGGTCTGCCATTAGTCTTCTACTTCCTGCTTGACTGTATTTTCAAGGTTTTTATTTATTTCTTCCTTTAGTGGGTTACTTTTTCTCACAAAGGCGCTCTACTTGGTAATTTGATCTATCAAAACGTCTCAAAAACGTGAGATCTGATAATGCAAAATAGAATCACGCAAATTACAGATTTATAATGTTTCAGTATAAAATGTTTTTTTTTGAAAGAAAAATCGTTTTCATATCTGAATTAAATATCTGGAATGATAGAGTAAATGAAAAATTGATATAAGTGTGAGTATTAAAGCTGTTATCTTATAAGTTATAAAAAAACATTATCATGGACATGTGAAGTTCTGGATAGATTATCAGAATCGCTGTTCAATATTTCGAAACTAATATCAAATCAATGAAGCAAGCTGTTAGCAGTAATTGCTTATGAACACCCACAGATTCCTTTTCACATAAACTTATTACTTATTACTTTATTTTGTTTTATACCTACGTACCCTGTACATTATAGCAACACAGGCGACAACTTGAAATATATTATAAAATCTAATTATCTTCGTTAGTTCCATAGGTTTCCTATTTTTCATAAAATTTGGCAGGATCTGCAGGACTAATAACAGGTATACTCCAATTATTCCTAATGTTGGGAAGGGATTTTCCATCATAAACCAGTTTTTCACTCGAGGATCTAAAATAATACGAAAAAACTGAAAAATATTTAATGAATAATAAAACTTAATATCATAGTTTGCATAACAATAAAACTTCGTTTTCAAAACTTCTACAAATTTTATTATAAAACATTATCAATACAGCTGTTTTGGCAGAGCCTTTCTAAAGTGAAACTGTTGTCTGCCGAAATAGCTGTAGTGATAAGATATTATAATAAATATTGTGGAAGTTACTACAATTCGCTATGCATTTTCAGGGCTGCGCTAAGTTAACTAAATGCTAAAATTACAAAATTGCCAAAATGGGTACTCTCAAGTGAAAAATTATTATAAATTATGCCATTATTATACGTGCATAGTTTTTAGGTGCACAATATTAAGATAATACAAATGTTACTTACATTCCGGTACAAGGAATATTGTTATATTTTAGAATATACTATTGATGTAATTGTTTCTCGAAAAATTTTGTGAAGTTATTTTTACTGATTGAAGAGATATATTTATATAAAAATGGCACCTGTCGAAAAAAGTACCTTCGAAAAGTTCCGAAGGCACGAATAAATAATATATGTTTATCAATATATAAACATAAATATTTATAAAGCGCTCATTAGGCAGTCATCAGCATTTGTAGTTAGTACTTATGTCATAAAATTGGCTGAAAAGGGGTAATTTTCAAATTACAAAAAGATAACTAGTAATAAGTTCCAAAAATGCTACGTCGGAGTTAACACTCTAATACATGCCTTTTAATCAGTTGAACAAATAAGATGGAAGTTGAGCTGTGTTCATGAGTGTCATTAATTAAACCCAACATCTAATTATTCGTAAATATTAACGAACATACTACTTGAAATACAGTTTTTATAATAGTTATTTTGAAACTATAAGTGTATGTCTAGCCGTATCATTACGGCGAAATATAGTGAGTACATTTGTTATTTTATTAATAACATTGACATATAAAAATGTTTATAATGCTACACTTATACTAACAATGATAATACTCACGAAGTATTTAATGAACGCCACAACATTCTGCTTAATTATTAAAAACAATGACAGGGTTTAATGTGGAAAATAGGAAACTTTAACAAAAGGTTTTAGCACATGGGATTATTGAAGTGGTAATACATGAAGCAAAAGAGTGAAACACATTTTTATTTATAAACTTTTTAAGGTTTCTAGATCTTTCAATAGTGTCGAATATTGGAATTTATGATATTATTATATTATAGATGAATTGAACAGCACTGCATCAAGTTAATGTATTAGCTTCAACAGTTCTTTAGCTGGAACGTGGCTCAAACCATGACCATGACATACATTCTTACATCGAGTCCGTTATTCAGCTGAACCATCGAATCGAAAAATCTTTACACAGACAGAAATAACAAAAATTTTTGTTTATAAACTAGAAACAACTGTAAATACTCAGAAATTTGTTGTTGGCAGGGAGTCTCCCTGTCTGACACCTACCTTCATTTGTACTTCATCTGACGGGCCTTCTCTTGTTAAAATTCGTGCCTTGGATTCCTTTATCGTCATTTTCGTAAGACTTTTAGTTTTTCTTGGATGCCTAATTTATTCATATCCTTAATTAGCTCCTCCCTTATTGCACTGTCAAAAGCTTGCTTCTAGTCAATAAACAGTATATGTAGATCTATTCCGTGCTCGTAACTTTTTTCGACGATTTGCGTTACAATGTGTATTGCATCTATTGTTGACTTGCCTTCTCTGAATCCATGTTGGTATTCACCTATTTTTGTTCTAGTTTCTTTTTCTATTCTTTGTCTGATCAAATTAGTTAATATTTTGTACATTGTATTTAATAACGTGATACCCCTGTAGTTAGTGCATTTCGTCTTGTCGCCTTTTTATAGGGATTGGTGTTATCAGACCACAATCCCAGTCGTTCGGCATACGTTCTTCTTCCCATATTCGTTCTATTAGGTTGTGGAATATGTGGGCTAGTTCCTCTCCCCCTTTCTTGAAGAACTCATTTATAATGTCTGGTCCTGCTGCTTTCCTTGTCTTTAATCTGTTTATGATCGTCAATACTTCGCTGTATGAGGGAGGCTCTGATTGGTCTCCATTCCTATTTTCTGTTTGTTCTTCATTTTCTGCGTTTTCAGCATCGTCTTTCGTTTTAAACAGTGCTCTATAGTGTGTTTCCCATTCTATTTTTCCAATATTTGCTGGTATCTCTTTTTTTCTCTGTGATTTTATGTATTTGTATAGTCTTGCATTGTCATTACTATAGGCTTCGAGTTCCTGCAGTAATTCTTCGATCCATTTCTTCTTTTTTATTTTGCGGCATTTGTCTAACTCTTTCCTCTCCTCTTTATAGTGTAAGAAATCTTCTTGTTTCCCTGTGGCCACCCACCTGTGACTTGCTTTGTCCTTGTCTTTACTAGCTTGCTCGCATTCTTCATCATACCAATCCTTTCTTTTATTGTCTTCCATTAGTCCTATCGTCTTCTCTGCTGTTGTTAAGATAATATATTTTATGTCTTCCCATGTTTTATCTATGTTCAATGGTTTTAGGACTAGTAGTTTTTCTTCCAATTTAGTGCAGAATTTTCTGTTTGCATTATCTGTATTTAGTTTCGACCGATTCCACCTCTTTCTTTTCTTTCTGTCGTTTTTATCTTTAAGTATCTTCAATTTCTTGTCGCCTATCACCAAAATGTGATCCGAATCAGCATTGGCTCCCCTGTAAGACCTTACATTCTGTAAAATTGTTCTCCATTTTTTTGAGATTAGCATGTGGTCTATTTGGTTTCGATCTGTTGTTTCAGGTATTAGCCACGTTACTTTGTGCTCTTTTTGTGCTTGAATTGAGTGCTAATAATAAAAGTATTGGTTGCTGCTGTTATAGTACATATTCTCCTGCCATTGTTATTCGTATTTTGATGGATCGTTTCTTTTCCTGCGATTTCTCTGTTCTTGTCTTCTTTCCCGATCTTTGCGTTGAAGTCTCCTAACAGGATTAGTATGTCGTTCTTTGGTATTTCTTCGTACAATTCTTCAAGTTTCTCATATAATTCATTCTTTTCTTCTTCAGGAGCATACTCAGTAGGGGCATATATGTTAACAAATATTAAATTTGCTTGTTTATTTTTCATTCTAATATATGATATTCTTCCATCAACCGCTTTAAAGTTAATAATCTTGTCTCTTACGCTATTGCTAACTAGAAAGGCAGTTCCATTGCGCCCCTGTTTGCTTTCTCCTGCATAGTACATTGTGTAATTTCTTCTAGCAATCATCCCTTTTCCTGCCCACCTTATTTCTTGTAGCGCTAGTATTCCCATCTTGCATTTTATCATTTCTTTTGCCAACTCCTCCATTTTGCCTGGTTTATAAATGTTTTGATATTCCACGTTTCTATTCTTATTTTTCCATTTTTGTTTTTTGCTTTATTTGGTTTTGTTTTGTTTTTGCGTCTTTTCTTATAAAACAGTTTCATATCCGTATTCATTGCCACCTCCGTTATACTGTCGCTGTCTTTTGTTATATTTTTTTTTTAGTTTTTTGACGCCATTTTTATCAATTTTCCTCTTGGATCTATATTATCAGATGCCTATCAGATCATTGTGTCTAATAGTTTTTCAAAAAGGCTGCAGACAAACATTTCAAAAATACAAAACAGAAATAATACCAGCACTCCGTAGGACAAAAATCTGAGTATAGAGATGAAATGAAATTTAAAAAAAAATTTCAAGACACGAGATTGTTGAAGAGTTTATATCGGACAAACAGAAAGAGATTTTTAAAAAAGACACAACAGCATAAAAGTTAACTTGATTACAAAAACACAGGCTTAAAAGATGTGGTTTAAATTCTAAAAAACAAGGATTGTATTCAAAAAGTCAAATTTCGTTCAATGAACTTATAAACTTTAAACATTGTATCCATATCACTATGTATCCATAATTAATGGTACAAATGTGGAATTGTCTGTCGATGGTTGGAAATATTTTTTGTGACACTATTATGATAGCAGTTTTTCGTGTTTCATTTTATAACATAGTTATTATGTAACTAGTTATCAACACAGTAAAACAGACAATAGGTCATTAACATACATAGTAAATCTGGGATTTTGTGTCGAAAGTTTATTGTCATACTATATACTCAATCACTGAACTTTATATTTCCAATATTACTGTTAATTTTATTACGCAAGCGCTTGTTTTCAAGAGCATTCCCAAATTTACTAAAAATATATTTCTATATATTTTAATCGCATCACTTACCAGGTGATTGATGAAGCTTTGCGAATATGTCCATTGTTATAATTGCACCGAAATGCACCAATGCGGTATAACAGCCGTCAATTGTCAATTCTTTATTGAAATTAAAAGGAACAATGGTTTGTTAAGCTAAGCTTATCGAACATTCAAGAGCATCGCCTTTTTATTTGCCCGGTTCTAGTTTATTAATAAAACTTTAATTAATATTTGTTATACAGGTTGTCCAATTTAACTTGTTTGCAATATACTTCTTGATAAAACAACAAATTGGTACTCTTGATGAATTGAATTTCGTTTAAATTAATGCTTGATATTTGGATTTGTCTATGGAATTGCTGAAAAAAGCTGAGAACAACTAAGTTTCTGCATTATAGGCTTATACTGTTTATTTCTTACATGATTCGTCTCGTAGCAGATAGAATCCGGGTTTACACATATATTGTGATTTTTATTCATATTTTATTTTTTATTAAAAGCGCTTTCAGAATTAATCTTGGCTACTTTTCTATTGACTGTTGCATATACACCACGTTAACTATAAATACGCTGTGTTTTACTTGAAATTGTTAAATTTTATAACCATCATTGATGCCAGCACTTTCAACAACGACAGTGGATTATGTACAGCTGGTTTCTAAAAAAACTTATACAACTCTTAAAGCGTATTTTGTAGAAAATTGAGCAGTGTATTTTGAATAATAAATACTTATTATTTACATACGAAATTAGAAGATGTTTGGTTACTCTCTGCCGTA